ATGCATTCCACTTAATTTTTGTCAATAAGAGACTTTAGGGGATGTTAGTGATGAGTATGAAAAAAAGAGTTTAATGAGTATGACTGGCGCTACATTATACAAAAATTTTAAGCCCAGTTTATAGTCATTCATTAGACGATGCATAATTAGATGTGCACGTTATGAAAATTTGTTTATCGTTAACAAATAATTTCACATCCCAATAAATTTTACTTTGCAGGTTCATCTTTTGTTTACTGTTTGGATTTATTTTTTTGTACTAGCAGTTTGTAGATTGCAGTTTACATTTTATATGTACTTTTATTTTATGTTATTACTTAAATTTTTAGTGGTGGTAGTTTGTAATTTACACTTTATAATTTCGCCTTCTATTTATTGTGTGGATTTCTATTTTAAGTGTCAGTGGTTTGTATATTACATTTTACATTTTGCTCATGCTTTTGTTTGATGTGATAACTTATATTTATAGTTAATGACGGTTTATAAATTGTACTTTACAGTTTTACATTATATTTATTGTTTAGACTTCTATTTTCAATGATAGTATGTACTTTAAAGATAATACTTTGCGTTCTAATTGTATAATACCTTCGAGCAACTGAAGGAGACATAAATTTTGTGCACATGAGGACTTAATATCCCAAGTCGTGATCAGTCTAATTATGATTCGTAAAGAAAGGTTGTTGGGGGCAAGAAGAAATGAAGGGTAAATTGGGTTCATATGCACAAGTGTTTGATGCTCATCACTTCTTTAGCGCATTAGTTCATCTACTTCCACCTCCTAGAAGGATGAAACTCATGACCACGTTGTTACATTTACTGCTAATATAAAGACCTGATTCACTGCTAAACTCGTTGAAAATGAAGTCTAATTTGGAGATAAAAATGAAAATTAAATTGGATGCATATGTTGTCGAGCACAGTTGGGAGGAAACAAAAAATAGAGGAGGAGGCCGAGGAGGTTAAGGAAGAGGACAAGGATGAGGAAGATGGTTATGATTGTTTTTATTCTTATTTTTATTTTATGAAACATATGAACATGTGATTCTCATGTACATATAGTTTTATTCTCTAGTTTAATACATTGTCGTTGAATCCAAATTTGTATGGTAGATCATGCCCAAGAAATGGAGCGTTAGAACGAGGATAGTGATTGAGAGAGGGGGAGAAACGAGAGAGGAGAGAGAGAAGAGGAGGACTTCTCCCGACTAGGGGAAAATGGGATTTTTCGGGCTAGTAGACCCATTTTTATTCCATAAAATTAGAAATTACAAATGAGGGCCCCCAAAAAGAGTCCCCATTTTTACATCATGATGCTCATATTTATAGAAGATGAGAGGGGTAGAAGGTACAAAAATTACATATTTTGCTTTGCTTTTGAAGAGAGAAGAAAATGATAATTTAGTCCTTTTTATTTCGACCGTTGGTTCATCTCGAGATTGATACAGACTTTCATATCAATGTTTATCGACTGGCTAAAGTCAGGTGGCGAGGGAGAGTGTTTGGTCAGTTGACTGAAACGTGGTGGTTGACTACTGGATTACCTCAAGATCCGTGCAGACAATTTTTGGTGTATACAATTACAATTCTTTTTATGTTTAATTTGTGTGTTCATTCAAATGATTTTTGTTTTTTAACTGCTTGGATTAGTAAACTAGATTCTACGATATATAATTGGATTTGTATTTGTGTTAAGATTAACGGTGTAAAAATTGTCATCAAAGAAAGAAGTCTCTTTATTTTTTTTATTTGAACAAACTTTTTTTATGCCTTCTGAAGGTTTAGCGATGAGGTATCGAGAAACTGACATTCATCCCGTTAGTTACTAGATCAAAGGATTTAAAAGAGAGCCACCACATTTTTTTTTAATGTTTGCATTAACAGATGGCTTGCACCTATTGGTTTCTTGACAAACATCTAACCGACGGTTAACCAACGATTAAGCTTTTTACATAAGCCCATGAGTTACCTGTCATTAAACCATCAGATGCCAAAACTAGTTGGAAATGATGTCGGTCCTTAGATTGCCGACAAGCAAAAAAAATAATGCCCATTATTCCGCCGTCAAGCCATCGATTTCAAATTAACCGACGAGTTATTGTTTTTTCTGACGCGTTTTAATTGGAATTTTTTTAAATTTCTGTAGTGACATACACTATTGGGAGAGTGAAAATGGTTTCTACATATAGTACTTACCCTAACGAAAAAAATTCCTACATATAAACGTATCCACTGTCCTGATGATTTATGCTTTCATGGTAGAGAGAACAGGCTTACTGGCCTTAACTTTTTTTACATATAATATATATTTATCATAAAAGTTATTGGAACAAATGCTTAAAATTCATAATAATCACTTTTGTAGTTATAATAATTACATTCAATGGTTATAATATTTTCCCGCAAGAAAATTGAATCAATTATTAATTAATTTTTAATTAATCTCATTTGTAGAACTAATGGAGATCAACTCACTGCCTCTCTCTTAACATCACTCCATCATTATTTCTCCCACACCAATTTAGCCTCACTCTCTCATAAATTGGCTAGAACACTGCTCCCATTTTGACTCACTTTTTTAATCTTCATCATCGATGTTATTTTGACCCCCAATTATTGAACTAAGGTAAAGGAGCATTTTTGTAATGTGGTACCGCTCACCTAACACATCTCACCTACCGCTCACCTACTTCCCACTTACCACTCTTTTGCTTCTATAAATAGAGAGGGTGTGAGACTTAGGAGAGCAAGAGGAGATCTTAAGCTACCACAAAGGAGGAGAGAATAGCTAGAGAGCTAGAGAGGAGGAGAGCATCTTGAGGTCTTATATCAAGGTGTCGCTTGAGAGGGAGGCATAGAAGGAAGATGAGGGCTCATCTCTATGTATAAGCTATGTATTCTCCATTTCTTTTGCCTTAGTGAACTATTTGAATGATTCCCTCCTGTTGACGTAGATCCAGTTGGATCGAACAACGTAAACGATCTGTGTTTGCTTATGTTCTTTGCATTTCATTTCTATGCCAGGAAGTACATATCTCACAACAATTGGCATCGTCTGTGGGAAGATCCATACTTCTTGGCTAGAGGTGTCTGCGTAAAGTTGTTTGCGGCCAGCGATAAAGAAGAGGAGTTTGGCATTCACGAACAGAGGAGCAAGAGGATCACGTTCGCGTCGCAGACAGCCGAATTGCGACAGATTCGGTGAGCAGTGGAAGCTTTGATCGACTGGATTCGCATCGCAGGTTGTGCAGTTCGGCGGGGCCGAAAATTTGCGACAGGGCTGCCAGCAGAGGATTTCGGAGCAGGAGTTCGGTCTTGCGAGCAGCTCGGCTAGAGGGACGAGGTGGAAATTGCGTAGAGAAGGGTTCGGGGAGCTCCCTATTCGGGAGTTCGCAAAGCAGGAGGACTTGAACAGTTTGGCGAGGCGCGACGGCTCTGGAGAGACAGTTATTGTCGTGCGAGAAGCAGAGGAGGAATTCTTGATTTGTTCCGCTAGACGCAGAGGAGTGCCTGCGGGAAGGAGGCGCAAGCACAGAAAAGGAGGTTTTCTCCGGTGAACAAGTGTGATCTCTGCCAGAAGGGATCAAAGCTCTCCATTCGGTTGGCAAAGGCAGTGGAGTTCACGGGGAGAAGGTAAGAAATTTGGTGAGAATTTTTTGGACAGCAAGGTGTTAAAAGGCAAGTTTAGGCTGAAATTTTTTTATTATTGTACAATAGTACAACATTTTGGTGATTTCAGTCTAATTCTTGGAAGGGCAACTGGTAGAATTCATTGGAAGAAATTCTAGCCACGACAATGAATTCCGCCAAATTTGAAATTGAGAAATTCAACGGGAAGAACGACTTCTGCCTATGGAAAGTAAAGATGAGAGCTCTATTGGTTCAGCAAGGTGTTGCAGAAGCCTTGCAAGGGTCGGCGACATTGCCGGCCGACATGACCGAGAAGGAGAAGATCGACATACTGGACAAGTCCAGGGAGACAACGACTCAAGCACTTTGGGCCAAACTCGAGGTACTCTACCTGACAAAGTCTCTGGCTAATAGGCTCTTTCTGAAGCAGCGTCTATACTCCTTCAAAATGCATAAAGACAAATCCGTCTCAGAGCAGATCGATGAGTTCAACAAGATCGTCGACGACCTCAAGAACTTCAACGTCAAGATGGACGATGAGGACAAGACACTGTTGTTGCTAAACTCTATTCCTAAGAGCTACGAGCATTTCAAGGATGTGATGCTCTATGAAAGGGTATAGACTATTACTCTGGAGGAGTTTCAATCTCTGATTAGAGCCAAAGAACTTTAGAGGAAGCATGACTGGGACAAGGAAGTCAGCGGAGACAGTCTTAGTGTTAGAGGAAGATCGGACAGGAAAGATTCAAGAA